TCGACGCCCTGCGCCGCCAGGGCGTGCGCCGCTTTGTCGTGTGCCGCGGCTGGCGGGGCTCGGCCTTCGACTCTGAGCTGGTGGGCCTCGGAGAGGGCGTGGTGCTGGTGGACTGCCCGCGGTTCGGCTCCACGGGTATGCTGGAGAGCCTCAGGACTCGGTGGCGAGCGCGGGGGGGAAGCGAGAGGGGGCCTGGCATTCTCAGAAGGCTCGGAAGTCCTCCTGCCTTCTGAGGAGTTTTTCTGAGTCCTCCCCGAAGACACGGACAGCGTCTCAGAATGCCCGAGGCTTTCTGAGAAGCTCCGCCGCCTTCTGAGAAGGCCTTCTCCTTCGCACTTCCCCCCCCCCCCCCCCCCCCTCTCGCTGCCGAAGGACGGCGCTGGAGCATTTGAGCCCCGGCGGCTTCTACCTGCTCTACGGGGACATCATCTTCCGCCCGAGCGTCGCTCGGCAGCTGCGGGAGGCCCGCGGCAGCATATGCGTCGCCGTGGACGCCTCGGCGCCTGGCATGCTCAGCAAGGGCCTCACGGACGTGGAGGTGGTGACCACCGTGGGCCAGGGCCCGACCCGGGCCGTGCGCCGCATCGGCAAGGGCAGGTGTGCAGAGGAGCAAGAGGTCATGATGATGATACGCTCCAGGATTTCCAAGGTTTCTAGGATTTCCCATAGTTCTAGTGTCCCGCACTGGCTGCGCCGCCAGATACCCTTGAAAACTTGGACGTATCCTGAGCCAATCTTGTTATCCTGACATCGTTCTCGCCCTAGGTGTGCCAGTGAGCACGAGATCGCCGGGGAGTTCGCTGGGCTCGTGAAGTTCTCCTCGGCCGGGTGGGCCCTGGCCGGGGAGGCCCTGGGCCGGATCCGGCACGAGAACGGCTCCTGTACTGGCGAGCTCGCCGCGCACGGCCTGCCGTGGTGGCTGGAGCCCATCGAGCAGGCCAGCCTGTGCGACCTCCTGCAGCTGCTGGCAGACGAGGGTGCCGGCATCGCCACGGTCATGATCTTCGGCGGCTGGCACGAGGTCAACACGCCCCAGGACCTGACGCGCGCCCGGAACGACACGCCCATGTTCCTCTCTGAAGAGGACGCGCGCGCACAGGTGGCTGCGATGGGCGCGTGCCTTCTGAGCGAGGCCAACGACCTGAAGCGCCCCCTGACGGTGCTCGCCCACGAGCTGAACATGGACCTCGCGAAGCTCGAGTGCCTGCTGCAGGGCAACCTCGAGGTCAGCGACGCCCTCGGCGTCCTGCGAAAGATGAGCGAGGTGTACCCCGTGCCCCTGAACGATCTCTGGCTCGACGCGGACGACACCACTGACGGGGTTCGCCTGTGCTCGGCTGACGCGTCCGAGGCCTCCGCGCGGGTACTCAACCGCCCAGACAGGACCGGGAGCCGGACCCCGTACTACGAGTACCGGGATGCCGCCATGAGCAGGTGCAGCCAGTTCCGCCCAGAGTGGATCAGAGAGCTGCGGGTCGTGCAGAGTGGGGACCCTATGGACCCAGATGTTGCCCTCAACAACGGTCACCTCATGATGCAGGCCACGTTCTTCGTAGGACCAGTGGATTTCTACTACAAGGACCGACACGGTGTGGTCCACCGCCGGGAGATGAACACTGGCGACAGCAATTTCATCTCCCCTTTTGTGCCGCACTCGTTTACTGCACGTGACCCTGACCTGGACTGCATCATCATTGCAGTGACATACGGAGGCGGAGTCCGGAGGGCTTTCACCGAGTTCTCCAGGGTGGGCGCCCGCAACGTCTTCGCGCTCTCAGGCGATCGGCGAGACCCGGCGCTCGCCCGCCGCTGTGTGCTGCAGAGGCACCTGCGGGCCGAGTGCCTCACCGTCGAGGGGCTCGCGCAGCAGGTGAGCGGCGAGATCTGCGCCGACCGGGTGGCCCAGCTGGCGGAGGGGGCCGAGGCGACGCACGAGGAGCTCGACGCTCTGGCGGGGGCGCTGAACGTGCGGCCGTCGGACCTCCTCGTGTGCGGCCTGGAGGAGCACGAGGAGGTGGTCGTCACCAGGGCCGAGGAGAGCCAGAGGCAGGCCCGGCGCCTCTCGACCTACCTGATGGCACCGCTCGCCCGCACCCGCCACCAGCCGGATCTGAAGACCTTCGACCTGGAGGTCAAGGACTCCGCGCGGCCCGGGGAGGTGTTGACCTGCGGGCTCCACACCTTCGTCTACAGCTTCGGCTCCGAGCCCGCCGAGCTCTCCTGGGAGGGCCGCGGGCACCGCCGCACGGCGGTGCTGCGCCCAGGCGACTCGGCCTACATCGCTCCCCTCGTGGAGCACCGGTTCTCCGTGTGCGAGCCCCCGCCCCCGGTGGAGCGCAGGGCCAACCCCAACGGGAAGGCGCGTGGCGAGGGCCGACGGTTTTTCTTGGTGCGCATCCCCGGGCACCTCACGGGCGAGACCCTGGCCGAGTTTGGCACCTTCTCCGCCCACGGGCGCGAGCGCGTCGGCGCCGAGAACGTGCAGTGGTACAACGACTGAGCAGCCACGCGCCGAGGGGGGCAGGGGGGAGAGGGGCCAGGCTCCCTGTAGAAGGAGGCTCTGCTTCGAAGAAGGCGCGGGCCTTGTCTGTAGATGCCAGGCCTGGGCCTTCTGAGGAGCAGCCTCTTTTTGAAATGAGCCCTCCCCCCTCTCCCTCATGCGCGCCGCCACCCATGAGGCCCCTCCACGCGCTCCCAGGCGCCGAGGTGTCTGCCTCCGCTCGCACAGCGCCTCGGTGCCCCGCACCCCGGGGGCCGCGGGCGCGGTGCGCGGGTTGGTTCTGAAGCGGCCGCGTTTTCGGCTCGCTCCCCGCGCCCTGTGCCCGCGCCGCCCGTCTGAGAGAGCGCCCCCAGCGGGACATCGGCGATCAAAAACAGTTTGGCGAAAGGCCCAACCATTTGCAGTGGTAGGTACCGTACTTGTGAGCTTCGTCTTCGGTGAAGCCCCCCGTGTGGGGTCGCGAAGCGTGCGAGTTGTATGCCGAAGTGGTGAGGAGAAGGCATGCGGGCCCTGGCGCTGTGGCCTCAGGTGGACGTCCCTATGACGCCGCGAAGCGCGCGAGGGGTGCGCCGAAATGGTGTGGAGAAGGCACGCAAGCCCTGACACTGGCGCCTTAGGTGGAGCTCTCTGTGGAGGGGGAGGGCCACGCAACGTGTGAGGGCTGCCGAAATGGTGTGGAGAGGACATGCGGGCTCTGGCACTGGAGTTTTAGGTAGAGCCCCCTATGGGGGCACGGAACGTGCGAGGGGTGCGCCGAAATGGTGTGAAGCAGGCGTGCGGGCACTGGTACTGGAGCCCGAGGGTGAGCACCCTGTGGGGCCACGAAGCGTGTGAGGGGTGCGCCGGAATGGTGTGGAGAAGGCATGCGGGCCCTGGCATTGGAGCCTTAGGTGGAGCTCGTTGTGGAGCCATGGGGCCACGAAACGTGTGAGGGGTGCGCCGAAATTGTGTGGAGAAGGCATGCGGGCCCTGGCACTGATGCCTTCGGTGGACCTCTCTATGGGGCCATGGGGCCACGAAACGTGTGAGGGGTGCGCCGACATGGTGTGGACCCGGCATGCAGGCGCAACCACTGTGGCGTCATATGGAGCTCTGTATGGGGCCACAAAACGCGTGAGGGCTGCACCAGAATTGTGTGCGGAAGGCTTGCGGGCCCTGGCACTAGCACCTTGGGTAGAGCTACCCATGGGGCCACGAAACGTGTGAGGGGTGCGCCAATCGAAGCGATCATCGGCGATCTCTCCACGATCTGTAGGTTTCTGCCCTTTCGATCACGCTCACTTTGTGTCGTGTTCACCTCCTGGTATGCGCGTCGCGCAACGGACTTCATTCGTCCTTCCTTTGGCCAGTTGCTGGCTCTGACCCTGGCCGCCTTCCTGCTCGACTCATGGGACCCTTACCGCTTGCTGCCCTGGGTTGCTTGTTTGTTCTGCCATCTGGATTGCGCTTTGGCGACCTTTGTGGTCGTTCTTCTGGGACTTCGTACTGCTCCTGCAACCTGGACTGTCCTTCGCATGGCTTGCGTGCGCAGTCGCCTCGGCGTTGCGACCCTCGGTGTTTCATGAACTTGCCGCGCCCTGATGCGCAGGTTCGCCTTGCCACTCCCAGCTTGTTGCCCGTGCAACCCCTCTGTTCCAGCACGCACGCACAACATCTTCACGGTCTGAGCACGCTCCGCCGCTTGCGGCTCCCTCCCCCTCCTCCGCGCCTGTCCTCTTCCTGCTGCGCCCAATTCGGCGTCGACGTGTCCGTCGGTTGTCCCGACCGCGTCTTGGACCCGAGTCGCCGCTGAGAAACATATTCGTTTCTCACAGCGCGGCCCCAAGAGCTAAACCCCTTCACCAGGACCGGTCTCTCCTTCGAGACGTTTTTTGCTGGTCCCTGGGCCCATTGGTGGCCCCCCGAGGGCCAACCATCGCCAACAACCTTCGTCGAGAAGAGTTGGGGATGCACCATGCAGAACATGCCAGCCTAAACCGAACGCCCCCCCGCGGGCTCGCCGATCAGCTGCGAGCGCCCGTCTCCCTGCGAAGCCCAGGGCAGGGCGCCCCCGGTGGTCCCCATGAGGCGACGCCCCCCCCCCCCCCCCGCCGCCCCCCCCTGGGTCCTCCGCTGGCCAGCCACAATCGGGGGAACGATTCGGTGATCGCGGTCAGGAGCTTTGGGTTAGCGCGTCGCGCCGCCAGTTCTGGCAAACGATGCTTCGGCGCAACCCGCTATCCACTTCCCACTTCCCGCGCGTCAGCGTCCTGGGCTTTTCCATCCGTCCGCAACGCGAAGTGGAGCGTCGCGCCATCCGTTTGCAGAGCAGAGCGTGTCGCCAGGGACGCCGCTGCGACACGCTAAACAACAATTCCCAACCGTAGCTGCCCCGATGCGGCCGTGTTGGAACGCAGCCCATACAGTGTTCAAGCGTCCAGGTTAATCACGTTGGGTGTTGATTCAGCGCGGATTGGCCAGCGCTGTGCCAGATGTGTCGCGCCAGACTTTCGCTTTGAGTCTACCTGTTGAGTTTCGTGCCAATGTGGCACGGGTTACGTACTGCGTGTCTGGTCAGCTATGATTCGGGACGATCGAATTGAGCACGGGCAGACTGGGAAAACGACGGACATCAGTTCTTGGCCATTGTGAGCGGGGTTCGCTGTCGGTGCCACCGCAGGCGTTGACCATTTGGGGCAGGAGGCCGCCTGCCCAACAGCGGCCCCGGTTGGCTTGGGCAAACTCTGTTGTTGGGCATCGTGCCCCGGACCCGCTTCGGGCGTCCAGAGTTACATGTTCCGTACCGCCTTCGGGAAACCATCGCATCGACGTTCTCACCTCGACAGGGGCGTCGAATCTGATAGCCCCTCCCCACTTTCGGAGGTCCGCGTTTTTGTTTCGATCTGCGCTGGGCCCCCCTGGCGGCGCATCTGGCGCCGCCCCACTCGTGGCGCCGTTGAGGGGCGCCCATCGCCAATCTCGGAAGCCCGCGCGGACCTCCGAAAACTGCTCACGTTCGTGAGTTGCTCTTGTTCTTCCAGGTGAGCGCCACGGCCTTCCCCGCTGTGGCCCGCCTGCCCCGCGCTGCTGTCGCCCTCCCCCCCCCCCCGAAGGCCGCCCCCCGCCGGAGGAGGAAGAGACACGCGACGGCGTCTGCTCCTGCCGCGAGCAAGCCCGCGCGTGTGCGGATGGCAGGGTGCATTCGCACTAGCAGAGCCTCCCTCCCTCCGAAGGTCATGGATATGGCGATTGCGATGACGATTGCACTGATGATGGCGATGGTGACTGCATTGTGATGACGATGATGGTGATGATGCTGCAGAGGATGATTCCACTGATGGTCGTGATGAGGCGACTGCAGATGCACACGATGACGACGATGATGAGGATGCTGATGCTGCTGGTGATGATGATGATGGTGGTGGTAATGACGGTGCGGTCGGCGACGACGACGATGATGCTGCTGATGATGACGACGAGGAGGACGAGTACGATGATGACGATGATGACGATGACGATGATGATGACGATGGTGGTGATAATGATTCGGATGATGCTGATGCTGATGCTTATGATGATGGCGATGGTAGGTGATGGTAATAATGGTTGTGGTGATGATGATCATGACGATGAGGGTGACGATCACGATAGGATGGTGTGGAATGATCAATGAGGAGGATGGGGGGATGAGGGTGGTGGTGCCGATACAGTTCAGGATGAGGATAAGGAGGCGGATGAGGATGATAAGCAAGGGGAGGAAGATGATGATGCTGCTGGTGATGGTGATGGTGATGGTGATCGTGATGGTAATGGTGATTATGATACGAATGCAGATGATGATTATGGTGATGATGATGCTGCTGATGCTGATGATGATGACACTGATGCTGCTGATGATGCTGATGACGATGGTGAGGAGCAGGATGATGAGGACGATGAAGATGATGACGACGATGTGATGTTTATGCTGATGTTGATGACGATTCTGATGATGGTGATGATGATGCTGATAGTGATGATGCTGATGATGATGGTGATGCTGCTGATGATGATGATTCGGATGATGCTGATGCTGATGCTGATGCTGATACTGATGATGAACATGATGATGATAATGGCGATGGTACGTGATGATAAGAATGGTGGTGGTGATGGTGATCATGACGACGAGGGTGATGTTCACGACATGACGGTGTTGAATGATCATGTTGTTCATGAGGGGGATGAGGGGGATGAGGGTGGTGGTGCCGATACAGTTCAGGATGATGATGAGGAGGCGGATGCGGATGATGAGCAAGGGGAGGGAGATGATGCTGCTGCTGGTGATGGTGATGGTGATGGTGATCGTGATGGTAATGGTGATGCTGATGCTGATGATGATACTGGTGCCCATGATGATGGTGATGATGATGCTGCTGATAATGATGATGATGGTGATGATGATGATCATGATGATGATGATATTAATGACGCTGATGCTGATGATGATGACGATGGTGAGGAGGATGATGAGGACGATGAAGATGATGACGACGATGGTGCTGCTGATGCTGATGATGATTATGAGGATCGTGATGCTGATGATGCTGATGATGATGACGATGATGATGATGATGATGGTGACGCTGGTGCTGATGCGGATGCTGATGATGATGCTGATGATGCTGCTGCTGCTGCTGCTGCTGATGATGATGATGATGATGATGCTGATGATGATGATGCGGATGCTGATGATTCCGATGACGATGAGGAGGATGATAAGGAGGATTATGAACAGTACGAGGACGACGACGATGATGCTGGTGATGATGATGATGCTGCTGCTGATTATGATGATGATGATAATAGTGGTGGTGGCGGCGGTGGTGGTGGTGGTGAAGATGCTGATCACGATCATAATCATGTTGCTGCTGCTGCTGCCCATGATGATGATGATGATGATGCTGATGATGATGATGATGATGATGATGATGATGATGATGATGATGATGATGATGATGATGATGATGGTGAGGAGGAGG